AAATACGAAATAGATACCTACTTCTTTACCGTCGTAAAATTATTAAATATTGAGAGGTCAAATTTATTTTATTTCGACTTGAGAAAATATTTCGTCGGAAAGTATTCTTTGTAAAAATATATTGCTAGAATAATATTTATTCGGAAATAAATTTAATTTGATTTGCGTACATAAAGATGTTCGTATAATCTTCTTTCTAATTTAATCTAAAATAAACAGAGTCTAAATGCCATGTAAATGAATTTAATTATAAATAATGCAATAATTGTGTATATCATGTAACAAGAACTTTATATATCTTAATATTTTACTAATTAAGAATTTATAAAAAATTACCAATATCTTCTGCAAAATAGTTTTATAAGTCTTCAAGACCAGATCTTCAGAGAGTTATTCGTGTAAGGTATAAGGTGAATTTATAATATATTATTCGGGCATGGACCAATTGCATCTATAAAAAAATTTTTTTACTTAGGGTCCAACTTAACCAATTGCTCTTCATATATTTTACGGTCAATATACCAATTGCGCTATTCAAATTTGACTATTTTCAGATATAAAAATATTGTTAGTAAAATTGATTTATTATGGTAAAAAAGTTTAAATGTGAATTATAATGTAACTGGTATAACTTTAAATTTTAATTAATTAATTTATATTATATTATATTATATATTATATTAAATATTAATAGTCGTAAAAAAAAATAAGTCTTGTATTATTTAGTGTAATTATATTTATAATTATAACTTAATTTTAAATAATTGTCGATCAAAAAGTAACTTTTTAAATGTGAAGAAAAAAAAATTATTCATTTATTTATTTATATTATATTAAATATTTATAATTGAACAAAAATTGGTTAGTGTATTAATTTGTTATATAATTATAACCTACTAATAAGTTTTCCTTGGGTATTTTAAAATGTTCAAAGCACGTCAATCGGACGGCCAATCGACTCTAAAATGTTTAGAACGCAATTTGTTTATCGACCTAAAATGTTTAAAACGCAATTGGTATATAAAAACGTCATTTTAATGCAATTGGTAAACTCCCTATTACTCGATTAAGTTTAGATTGAACCTTTCCATTTCATCTTCTTTAATCATACTGGTTCTCATATTTACTGAAAACTAGCTGTTTTACTGGGAATAAGTAATCACAAAACTATCAACATCGCTTTCAATTGGTTTTAATTTAAACATAATCTTACGTAAAAAGTAAAAACTAAAAAAAAGATGTATAAGATTTTATAAGTATTGCACCACAGAATAACATAAAATTATGATAATACGAAAAATGATTACTACATCCAAAAATACAAAATCCGAAATTTTAATTTTTTTTTCTGAAATACACCAATAAAAATACCAGGGGCAAATTTAAGTCTGTATGCCTGTTTTGAAGTAATGTCAAGGGTCACCACCTTTTACCACGCAATCATGCCTTGTAATCAATGTACAAAATTATTTATTGCAAAAAATTACTTATTGTATATTATATTTTTTTGTCTAAAAAAAAAAAAAAAAGATATTCTACTAATCGTTTATTAATGAAGTATCAAAAAAAAATGTTTTTCTGATATAATCATCAATCAACCTATACATTTATTTATTCTAAATCAAGACCAAAGCTATCTTGAGTTCAATGTATTTTCTTACGAAAAATTAATATTCATTACACCTTTAATAACATTTAATTGTATATTATTTATTTTAAACGTTAGTAGTAATTGTTGTAATAAATTGATAGCGTTCAATTAATCAATGTCTAACAATGCGTTTGTAGAGGCATACTTAATATTTTAAGACTCGCAGTGGTTTAAAAAATCACGATACTCTAATAAACTTTTTTTGTATCATCACATATTTTTCTATTCTTAGTGACATTATTAATTTATTGAACTTTTCTTTATTAAATGTGATGTACTTCAGTATGGTTATTGTTTAATATTTATTGACATTGTTTACACTGATTTAATAAAGGACAATGAAAAAATGTAAAACATAAAAAAAAAACTTTTAAGTAGGTATCTTGTATAAAATAACCTACCCACTAAGTTATTTGTTAGTTTGTCATTAAGAAATTTGCATGAGCTTCAGTCATTGCTTAAATTTGTACTACTATAAAATAAAGTACCACCTGTTCAATTAATTATGAATTACGCACTATCAGTAGTTTGCTAACGAGTGTTTTCAAATTGTACTTCAATCATATGTTTTGATCAATTTTCATTAATCTTAACAACAATGTTTTTATGACCAGTCGTTAATAGAATGTTTACGAATTCGACGATTGAATTATTTTTGTTTAAATTTGTATTTGATGTCACGGTCAACAGGAATATAAATACCTAACAATTATTTTCTTGAGTATGAATTTTGATTTAGACGCGCTCGTACTTAAAACCTAACAGTTGTGTTTTCGGTGAATTGTCGAATGTCCAATTCGTTCATGTGAAACTATGCGCGTGTATACAAAATCGTGTTAGATAGTTATTATACAATAACACACCATAAGTACTTATAAACTACACGCCTGTGATCTGTACACAGTACATAGAAGTGTAAGTAATACCACGAAAATTCAAAGGAAATAAAATTGTTCACAGAAATCGTTTATTGTAATTACGATTAGCGCATCGCGCTTACATAAATTATTATTTTTATGAAAATAAAAACTAACTTTGCGTGTATACCATAAAACATTATAAATGGTATTTTTTTTTCTTTAATTTCTATGGGAGATAGGTGAAATAGGATTATTAAGAGCTCGTTTAGCCTATGAATAACTTATATTTTTAATGTCAGCACCGTTGTATATATAATTGTATAAATCCTCAATAAAATGTTGTGTGAAAGACATCAAGTAATGTCGTCAATAAATTGTTATTGGCTTTAATGTTCTTATCTGTATATCATTTAATGTATACTAAATAATACGTGAAAAATATTTTAATTATTATCATGGTCTATAAAATGTAATAATACTTTATTAAATATGAGAATGAACAGAAAGTTATTGTTACTTTAAATTTTATTTTATTTGTGATCCATATATACCCTGGTACGCACAAAAAATACCGCCGTTGGGGGGCATGGCCTCTTAGTCACTCCTGCAGGCTACGCCACTGGATATAATATCACACATATTTCGCATTAATAATGTACCTATTGCATGTACCTATATACCTATATATATACCTATATACACATACGTACTATACTTACATCTTCGGTTACTTAAGTGTTGAATATTTTAAGTAATATTACAACAATAACAATAATAATAATAACGATAAATCCACGTGTCGTTCATTTTGAAATATTTCAAACTAAATTAAAACCTATTGTTTGCTTACATTTGCAATTAAATATGGTACGTATTGTTTTTTGCATAAATAACGATGGATAATTTATTTATTGTTGTTATTTAAATTTTAAACATTTAAAACGAAGAAGAAATACGTGTTACAATGGCATAGCCAAGAACTTTTTATGGGCGGGGGGGGGGGGGTCAGCAAATTTATATATATTTAATCTTATCACTATAATTTTGACTACTATTTGTATTAATCTCGGTATTTTTAAGTCTGGTTGACATTAGTTTTTTTGACTTAGGTAAAAAAAAAGAATACATTTTTCTAGTCTGCTTATTTGTTAGATAATTTGCCTATAATGATAAGTAATAACAATAATAATAACAATTTAGGAACAAGGAACTAAAATATAGGAACATAAATATTAGATATTAGAATATTTTCTGTCCAATCACTTAGGTATACTAAAAATTAAATTTTAAAAATACGAGTATCTTACCATAATGGAATGTTTAGACGTCTTAGAATGATGTCAAATTAAAATAAAACAAATATAATGGAATACAAATGTCAAATATAAACGAATAAACGAGTAGTAAGTTAAATAGTGAGACACCAATGGGCAACGACTAACTATTAAATAATAACTATTAGTTATACACAATAACGTGCTTGTGTTAAATGATCGACGAGCCGCGAATACAATAGTTATACCTAAAATAAACTTTGAATACAGACAATGATATCCCTTTTATCTCAATTATCGGAACCAGACGATCGATTTAGAATAAACCGTTGTAGAAAACCTAAATAAAATGTTCCCAAGCAAAAATTATCAAAGTAGTAGTAAAGAATCTAAATATGATCATAATACTATGACTTGTGTGTCTGTATATGTGTGTGTGTAACGTGTGTTTAATACGTTTATAGTACGTATACAAACTATTAATATGATTTCCAAATCAAAATTCTAAAATATAAAAATGTTAAAGAAAAAATCGTGTTTCATGTAAAAGTTAATTTACCATATCGGGTTCGTGGGGGGGTTCTGACCCCCCATGGATACGCCACTGACGTGTTAATATATACAGAGTGATTTTTTTTATCATGAATCGGTCAATATCTCGTTAATTATTAGGAATTTTAAAATAATTTGTTTTAATTTTTTTAGGTTTTACCTTTATACATTGTGTTATGATTTCAATAGTTTCAACTGCCTCTTTTATTTGATAGAACACTATCAAGTTTTGATCATCAAATGACAATACTCGTTTTCGATAACGAAAATCTAAACACATACTGAAAAAAATAATTTTAACGTTTACAGTATTCAACTTCAGTCATCTGTTTGCAATTTATCAATGTTTAAACATTCGTTTAATTTACCGCTACTCGACAATTTATCAAACCCAAAAGTAAAAACTATAAGTTAACCAACAATTAACCAAAAAAAAAAAAAAAAAAACAATAATACAATGAAATTGCTACAAAAAAATAAAATGAAATGTGAAAAAAATACGATTCTTTTATTCTTATTTTGTTATGATTCAAATAAGATCGAAAATAACATGAAAAATATTTGTTATTTTTTCTGCTTAAATTCAAATATGTACAACAGCTGTTTTCATATCTCTACAGTATACCAGATGTTAATTCCATTGATAACGGGTAAGCGTGCGTGCCGATATTTTTTTCGTTTGTGTTTACATTTTACTGCTACTTTATTATTCATCTTCTATTGCATAATAATTTTTATTTTTAAAACAAAGTGTATTATGGTACACTGACGTGAGATTTCGAATCGTTGGATTTGTGTGGATTTATACATTACAAATGAATTTCAATTATCACACCTAAAATGTTCCAATACAGTGACAAAGATTTTATTTTCACTACTTCTTGGAAATCGTTGGATGGCCAGTCTAAATTCGACGAAAAGTTAAGAAACCTCTGGCGAGAAAAAGAAGATCAAGAGCTCTTCAGGTATAAGTATAATATAGAATGTTCAATCGAACTGCCGGGCAAATATGGATTTCTTGCTGTTGTAAGTTTTTTTATTATGAATTTCATTATTAATTATTTAGATGGTTTAGCTATAATAATATGATTGATTTATTATGATTTTTAATGTAGTTGAACACGGATAGAGGGACAAAACGTCGTAAACCTATCACATTTTGTAATGTGTTAGAACCTTTCAATGACGATTTATTTAATTTTACCAAAGTTAACCCAGGGGAATATTTATTCAAATTTAGTTACATATCAAATAATTCTTCTAGTAAGTCGAATCACTAGTTTGAAGTATATCAATATTTAACAACCTACTCATTTATATTTAAAACTAATAGTTAATTAATAACAACTTTATTTTACTTATGATTGAAACATTTGATTACATTTTTTAATAAATAAGATTTTCTCGCATTCATGGATAATACTTCATACTTCATATTTAAATTACAAATATTATTGGTTTGTGTACATTTTAGATCTAATGAAATAAATTATTTTTAGTAATACATTTATTAAAAACAAAATTAACAAGATTAAAGTTCATTTAAATTTTTTAACTATTATAAATTAAAAAAATAAGATAGATGTCTGAATTGCCATATTTAATTATCATTGCTCCAGAAGTTTTTATTTTATATCATAACTTTAATTTTATTTTTTTTATAAAATCTCCAAAATGTATTATGTCACTTATACTGATATGCTTATTAATCTTATTGTTACGGTAAATCCCAATTAATAAATGTGATAAAAAATATATAAATAAAATATCATATTCTTTTAAAAGGAATATAAATTATAAAAATAAGTCATTTATTTTAAATACTGTATGTTTCATTTAGACCCAAATGATATCTTGGCAATAAATGCTAGTCCTTTAGGAGACTTTCATTCATTAATTTTACCAAAACTTACAAGTAAACTACCACAAGTTATTAATGAATATAGTTTAAATGTTGCAATTCAGCTTTTACTTCAAAGTGCATCACCGTAAGTTGATATCATTATATTAAACTTTTTATTTATTTTATACATTGATTAATGCTTATTAAGTTCATTTCTTTTCAGGGCTTTACGGGTTGGGTTCAATAGCTTATGTGCTTTTGCTTCAGTTAACCATCTTCATTTACATTTATATTATTTATTTCATAGAATGTATCTTGAATATTGTGTGAGTATGCAAGTAATAATAATCTACTTTAGAAATATATAATAAACCCAAAATGAATAATCTAAAATATTAATAAAAAAAAAAAATGAATTTTTTAATATATGTAAAAATTATAACATAATTATTTTAAATTGTTCAGCATAAAAATGTTTGTCCTTTACTATTTCATACATATTATGAGGAATATTAAAAATTAATTTAAGTCTTTGTTATGAGATAAGGAGTTTATTATTATTTTTTGTAATTATTCAGTTCAAATTTATTACTAAAAGTATATTTTTAAAATCAATAGTTTTATTATGTATTAATCTTACATAAATAACTATTCTTTTTTAATATATGAAACACATAAAGCAATTGATATTGTTTATGTTTTACTGTGTACTTTATCTTAGAAACAAATTACAAAACAATTTAAAATTCAAGTAATATTGTCATTGAATAAACAATATTCTATGTATTATTTTTTAGGATCTAGTTAAATTAAGTGGTCCTTGTCATACTATTTTAGATTTTCCTTCTAAAGGTTTTGTATTCATACTGAATAGTAAAGATTCATTGCCTAATTTTGTCAAGTAAATATAAACTATTAATTTGCTGTGTTAAAATTGATTATTATACTAAAAATAATTATGGTTTTTAGGACAGTTTTTATCTTAATTGATTACCTACAAAAGAATAATGTTGCGCACAATATATACATAACTCGAGCATTGAATAAAGATCTAAATATTAATGATCCTGACACGAGAAATTGTGTTAGAGTTTTTATTTGGGCAAGAACTCCATCAGGTGAATTATATATTAAATCACTTATTTATTTATGCATATGACACTTGGCATGAGCTATTATTACAAATAACTTACTCATTATATATGTAAAAATATAAATTTTTAGGTGATAAATGTATGGATAAATTTGCTCCAGCAACTTGTGAATTGTTCGGCCATTTGGTGTTTAAAGGTAATAATTATTTTTAATATTAAATTCAATTCATATTTATTTTTTCTGATTTATAAAACTGAAGTATAATGAGCTCTTTGGAGTTAATAATTAATACATTTTTTTTAAAACTATTTGTTGAAATTGTTATATCATGCAGTTATGTTAATTATTTTGTTACAGATAAATCTGAATTTTCAGAAGTTACAGAATGTAGCGTAGCTCAAGTTCTTACTGATATTACAGAGTCTTCATTTAAATTAATTGAAAATGATGTAAAAAAATTGTACTTAAATGTATAAAGTAAGTTAAATATAAAATTGTTGTTGAAATATCCTTTGTTTTAATTTTTATTAATATCAAATGTATTAACAATACAATGGTGTTCAGTCATGCAAATATACACTTACATCCCATTACATAGTCTGTTTACATTTTTATATCCATAGCAACTAGTTAATGCTGTATTTACATATATTATCAGTTGGCTAGTGTTTAATTTTTTTTTTTATTTTTTAATAAGTTTAAAATAAATAAAATTGCATAGCAATACAAACATGGAACTTTATAGAGTAGATTATACTCTCTTAGGCATGGTTTCTCCTAATTGCATGAAAGTTCTGCCAATTTCTCAGAATGATGAAACTGAAAAGAAGACTCAAAAAGTAACATTATCTTTAAATTAATGTTTTTAAATTTGTATAGTCAAATTTACTTTGTAGATTATAGTTGGTGATCAAGAAGGAATTGTTCAAATGTTTCAAATTCGAAAAGGGAAAATTAATATGTTATTTAAAACATTGCCTTTAGAAAAGATAACTGAAGTTTGTTTAGGGGGAGCTCTTGGTATTTATTTTATTCATTTTTATAAGTCTACATTTATATTAAAATACATTTATATCTTTAAAGGTACTGTTCAAGACAAGATATTTTTATCAATGGGTTCATCAGTTCGTGGCTATACCAAAAAAGGACGATTGTTTCTTAGTTTTGATACTGGCTTATCAGAACCTATTAAATGCATGTATGTGTATTTTGTAAAAATCTGCTATAAGTAATCAAATTCCAAGTTGCATGATTTAAATTATTTATACTGAATAATTAATTTATAAAATATTTAGTTTAAAAATTAGTATTTCTAAGTTATTATTAGTTTAATTAAAATTTATAACTTGGTCTTGTTTCAAGGTATGTAACTGGAAATGAACTTTTGGTATCAGGAAGACATATATTTAATCATTTTAATGATTGCAAAGATAGTAATACTTATTTATGTCCAGAATTAATTAACAGTATTATATCATTAGATATTGTGAAGGTATAGTTAAAAAAAATTGTGTATTTAAAATTTATATTTATGCAAAAGGTAATTTTAGATGCAAGGTGTAATGCCTATTCTAGCATGTGCAGATTTATGTATTAGAATTCTTGAAGGCTCAACTGTGAAAGAAACATTTTATTTACCATCAGAGCCCATTTGTTTACATTTAATGAAAAATAATGGGGGTTCATATGGAAATGAAGTATTAGTTGGACTGAAAAATGGACATATTGTGCTACTTAAAATAGAAAAGTATGTTTAAACCAAATATTTGTTATGTGAAAAGATTGTGATAGAATTTATTTATTTAGAAATGCTTCAACTATTTGTCTTTGGGAACTAAAAACACCGTCAAAAAAAGGAATTATAACATGTATTGATTGTTATGAATTTAGCGGAGAAGATCATCTGTTAGTTGGTCGTCAAAGTGGTTCTGTTGAGATTTATTCCTTAGATTCTCATTCAGTCCCTATTGAAAAATTTAAACATGTAATACTTATAGATTTTATAAGATATTTCGTTACCAATTTAATAATTCTTATAGTCTATTTAATTTTAGAGTTGTTCAGAAAGTATAACTTCTATTCAAGGAGGAGCTGTTCGAAATTATGGCATACCAGAAATTGTTGTAACCACATTTACAGGTAAAACTAAATGAGCTACCTACTGAATAATGTACATTTTAATTTATGAAAGATAATGAATTATTTAAGATTCTAAGTAGAGCAAAGAATATTTGAATTTTAAAACTATATGTTTTTTTTTTTTTTTTTTATTGGAAATATTATGTACCTAACCTAATTATAAACTGAAAATATGAAAACAATTTCAATTTTACTGTACTTGCTGAAATTAGTTTGAGCGAAATTAATGCTTTCTTTTAATTTAATATTTATATATGAAATAATAATTATTGGTTTTCTTATACTTTTTGAAAATTAACATAAAACCACTGACCTTAATGAATTATATCGGTACTAACTATATTGAATTTCTTTTGTAATGGTTTTTAAATGTAAATCTTATGACATTACTATTAATTTATGGCAAATACTCCTCAATTCTACCCTACCTGATATATTTATTCCCGTCCATCTCCTCTATCAATGATTTTTTTTTTATATATTTATAAATACATTCCTTGTTGTAGGTTGGCTTTTTGGACTAACTTTCGCTGATCAAAATATAGACAAAGAAATTATTTTGGACTCTTCAAACATAATTTTAAATGATGAAAAACAAAAAATATTAGACATTAGGTAAACCTATATTATTATATTTCATAAGTATGTTTTTTAGTTTTCATATAACAATATTTTATTTTTTGTAACTTAATTTAAATACACTACTAAATATTGTGTTCTATTTATAATTTGTAGTTACTTTGTCAGTAACTGAGTATATTCAAACATTTTTGCTACCAATAAATCTATGTATATTCAATAGGTATGTTAACTGATGACTATTCTATCAGTTCAAGTAAATTTATTTTATATAGGTACTAAAATTAAAATACATGATCATTTATGTAAATGTTTGAAATTTATTAATAAATTTAAATAATTTTAGGACTGAAGTAAGTGATTTAGAAAGATTAGTTGCTATACAAAGAAACAGATACTTAGAATTCACTCAAAAAAGTTCAAGGCCCTCTGTTCTACCATATTTGGCTATTAAAAACAGTGTATGTATAATATTAAATTTAACATAATAATATACAGTAGAAGCTGTTTATTTTGAACACTTGGATTAAGGTGAAATGTGTCAATTTACTAATTATTTCTAATATGCGATTGGTTATATTTATTATAAAAAAAATGTATAATTCGAAGAAAAAAAAATGTATATGCTAAATAAAATATGTATTTATCATTGTCTATTGTTTTGCGTTGAGTAACTTGATGATCATGGTTTCATAAGAATAATGTTGCCCGAAGTTTTTTTCATTCTCATGGTGCAAAACTACTCTCCTGAAGACACTTAGAGCTTCTACAATTTCTTTATTTCATGGGGATGGCTCACTGTTTTCTTATTCATCGTCAGTATCAGCCTGTTCAATTGTTTGAGGATTTATAACCATATTACATATTTCTTCTTTTGTTGGAACCTCAGTAACGTCTAGGCGTAAGACCACATCAATGCAATATTCGTACACTTCTTTCGAGAGTTTGACTGGTTTCAATCGTAACCACACAAGATAATATATATTGTAATACATTGGTTATCATAGTTATTACTGTCCTAATTGTTTCAAATAACCAATGTGTTGTTTTAATAATCTGATTGATTTACAATGTTAAAATGTACAGCCGTCCCTAGACATTTTGTTTCAATAATGCAATTGTATCAATTATCTATGTTCCTAATAAACGGTTTTTACTATATACTTAAATATAAAATATTGTAGATATTTTATAATTTTTATTAGATTTTATAAAATTATGTCTTATAATTAATTATAAATATTATTATTATTTTTTTTTCAGATGTTTCTGGATACAGACAATTTAATTTATCATTTAATAATTGAACTAGAAGCAACTATTGATAATATTTTATTACAGTGTAACTGTTCAATTAATTTTATTGATATTGAAAACAATAACTCTGCCGTTGTGAGCAAGAGTAAATGTAAAGAAGAGGTACAATCAACTAATATTTTTAAATTGCACGAGTTAAAATAAATATTCAATATTCTAAAATGGCCTATGTTATATAATTTAAAAATAACTCACTTTAATTGTTATAATCAAAGCGTATTTCTTAATAGTTTAATTATTGTTGTTTATTAAAATGTTGAGAGAGAGAGAGAGAGAGAAATAGTGATAGTGATAAGATTAATTATAATATTGTGGTAATAATATTGATATATATATATATATATATACCCTAATATACAAGTATTAGTATAGGTATAGTATTCTTAAATTATTTTTTGTCCAACAAATATTTTTATTCATATCATTTTTTTTTTAGTTTAAAAGCATTATTAAAAAAAAAAAAAAAACATTTTTGCAAATTAATTAAATATGATAACTAATAAAAAAAAAACTAAATACAAACAAGAAATCTAACAAAAAATTAATTAAGAAAGTCAGAGGAGTGAATTATTATAAGTTAATTATGGAATGGATAATGGGAATAGAGCGAGAGTTAAGGAAGAAAACTAAGAGAGAGTGCTATAACCAAGACAGGAAAGAAAAAAGTTGTCACCTAGGAAGAAGAGGAGGATAATTAGGATCTAGTAATTGATTGCATTTGAGTATTTTTTGAATTATAAATGTTATGGCTTGAATTATATAAATTCTGCTAAACTGATACATGGTAGTTATGAATATAGAAATGTATACGTAGATTTCATATATCCTGCTATAATGAAATATTGTTATAAGCTAAATAAATTAGAATAAATTGAGAAAATTATTACTATAAAGTCATTAATAATAATATAATTATTATTCTATTCCAGTGGTGGCCAAACTACGGCCTGCGGGCCAACTCCGGCCCGCCATCATTTGATATCTGGCCCGCGAAAGTCTTCTATATTACAGCACTTATTTGTATAACTGTAATATTTTGCATTTACGTAAAAAAAATTTAAAATGCATTTTTTTATGGTCCGCGATAAAAAAAAATTTGTTTTTTATGGCCTGAGGAAAAAAAAGTTTGGCCACCACTGTTCTATTCGATTAATACACTTTTTGGAGTATAAATATTTTTCTCTTTTAGGATGACAATAAATTGTTGATTACATATAGATGCCAATTAAACACAACTAAACTAGAATTGAAAATGTGGTCACACGAAGGTGATCATGGAGTTTTAACAGCTTATATTACACCCTTATTGCAACCAAAAAGTTGTCAAGTTTGTAATTTTTCTATAAAACCACTTTTATATCATCAGAGAACCAACAAATACGTTACGTAAGTTTTACATTTTTTTATTGAATCCTTTTAAACAAAATTTTGGAAATTATGTTATGAACAAAAGAATAAGATCAAAATTTTAAATTATAATTGTTCAATGTTTTATAAATATTTGAATTAATTATTTTGAAAAATGTATTTGGGTTTTAACTAATAAAGTGTGAGTAGGTAAAAATAAGTTTCAATATTATATGCATTGAAGAAACTATGACTATTACCAAGGTATTTTAATTTTATAGGATATTTTGATTATGCTTCTATCTTACATCAGATAAACCACATTCTAAAATTACAATAAAATTATTTGGTAAATTGACAAAAATATTAATGTGGAAAAAATATGATTCTAATATTATATATACTATAAATTGTTATCCCAACAAAACAATCAATAGTAATTTTTTAAAATATACCATATATCCATAAACATAAATATCTATAATATTATAAAACTGTTTTTAGTAATTCGATAAAATTAGGTTTATTGTAACAAATCATTAATTTATTTTATTGTATATTTATTATACATATTGTATATTTATTATATTTATTATTATATATTTATATAATTTATGTATAATATTTATCTTTATTTATTAAGTAATTAACCATATTAATTTTATCATTAGTTTAGAAAAATATTTTAACGGTATATTGTATTATATAACGTTATAATACTATTTATTTTTCAATTAAATAAAATAAAGAATTTCTTTTTTTCATAAGAAAAAAACAATAAATGCTTAGAATTAATTTTAATCTACTATTTGTACACTTTCTCTTTTTACCAAGGTTTTTAATTTTTAAGTACTCTAATATGAGAGGTTTAATTTTCAATTATTATTAATTTCATAAAAAATGATGCCCATTTGTGAAAAAACGCTTTCTATAATAATATTGTTCTCCATATTTTAGTTGTCAGCCTCAGAGTTTTTTAACTCTGTCCGGTGGATTCAGTCTTTCGGAAGCACATTTGTGGCTCTCGAACTGCTTACCTGGAATTCCCGAAAAACCGACTGCTCAAGAAAATATTGAGTATTCATTTAAATCGATAATAGTAGACACTATTATACTGTGTGCATATAGGTATTCTGTTCAATCATGCTTAAGTATCATTAACCTATTCTAAATAACGTTATATTCTTCTGCCGTTTTAGTCGGGGATCAATTAACATAAAAACCGACAATATTACAGCAATTTCAATTCTTAAAGATAACATTAGTAAAGATGCCACAAGGAAAAATATTAAACTAGACATGTCTTACGGTTCGTTATAGGTTACCTTAAATAATACGTCTATTCTGAAAACGCCCTAATTTAATTTACATGTATGTGTATGCATAGAAGTATCAGAAAATAGTCTAATACTGATGATTGAAGCAATCGTTTCTAAACTAAAATTAGACATTATTAACGACAAAAAATTGAAGCTAATCGATGCTATAAAACAGTTGTCAGTAAATTCGAGTACCGCTGGCGAATCCCTAACGAAAGAATACTTAACGCTGATTTCCAATGAAAACGAATTGAAACTAGATGTTTCTCAACGGCCGTTCCGCATGCAACGTTTACAAGGTATATAATAGTTGTAAAGAACGCTATGGAATCGATTAATTTTTTTAACATGCACATTTTTATTTTGTTTTTATATTTACATCGCTGTTGACTTCGTTTCAGCCATAATGTTAGCATTGTTTGATGATTGGCACAAATTGAAAGGATTAAATATGAAACCGAATTCTCGAGAAGATTTACAAGAAGCTTTGCAAACGAGCAATGCACTAGACTCGCTGATCAGCATGTTTGAACTTTAAATAAAGAAATATTAAATAATTCTAAACATATTTATCGTGCTTATAATATATATATATATATATAAACTCTTTGCAAGCAAGTATACTGCCATTCTAACCTCATTCAAAGTTCAACATCATCTCAATTTTCAAATATTTGTTATACAATTTAGCAACAACTGTTTTTAAGCCAAAACTGAATTATTTATACAAAATTCAAACCTAGAGTCAAAAAGTCTATAATAAGCTAAAAAAATATAGTTATTTAAATTTACAGCCGTAGTTATACTAGTATATGTATATGAGTGTAATTTAGGCAATTTTTATGGAGTGGGGGACTTAATTTATGTTGATATAACATATACCTAAACAACGTATACCTAAAGAGTAGATATACTTAATCTACATTATGACCTATTATGATGGCGATTGCTAATGAAAAAATACATTTTAATTAATTTTTTTTTATAGTTAATAGTTCAAAAAATTATACTTTCTTGTTAAAATAATTCTTATAAATTTAAAATGCCTTTTCTATAATATTTTTTAATTAATTTACAAAATACCAAGGGGAGCATTGCCCCGTTAAATTTTTAGAGTGGCAGTTTCCCCCTCTCGCCTCCTTCCTCAATTTACGAACATGTCTTTGTACATATATATATATATATATATGTATAAACTGAGTCGTCGTAGGACGCCTGGCAGATGTAAAATACCGGAACATTTCATATAGAAAATATGCCCGTATGGACGATTTATTAAAGGAATTAATTAAGGCAAAAAATTAAAAATCATGGCATAAATAAAAACAAAATATTTAGATTTATTATAGAAAAATTATTCTTTAATTACAAAATATATATTTATTTAATATCAAAATTAAAAAAATTAAAAATTACCCGTCAGAAACGTATACAGTTGAACCTGCTATAATTAATCATTAATAATTCAGTGATTTTCATTTCAATAAACTCTGAACTTTATATAGACCATAGACAATAGACTCTAAATTAAATTTAATCGTTAGTTTTAGTTTTCGTGACAATAATAATTCAAAACGTATACGTTTAGAACTATTTATAACATATTACATCATGTATATGACCAGTGGTACCGAACACATACTTTTATGGGGCAGTTCGCCCTTTCATTTAACTATGGTGGTGGGTGGATAAATCTGCACCCTAATTAGTAAATCATAGGAATGTACACATTAAGTGACAGTCGATCTGTAGATAAGTAGGATACTATTATGTGATAGAGCAATTCGCCTATCATATGCATGTCTTTATACCAGGGGTCGGCAACCCGAAGCCCGCGGGCCGCATGTGGCCCGCGAAGCAATTTTTTATGGCGCGCACAAAGGTGGTTAATTTTTGTGTTTTATTTTTGTTCAATAAATTTTTCATACAATTTTCAATACTATTCAATTCTTTTTTCTTTATCAATAAAATTGTTATTATTACCTATCTAATCGGAGCCGAAGATAATGATGGCTGCACTACTTAGTCATAGGATAAATTAAATGTACTTAAATATATTTAAAAATTAAAATTTCAAATATATTTAATCTATGTATTTAATACATATGTATCTAATATATTTAATCTATGGTCATAGTTACTTTGCGTTTGTAGCAATTAGTATTACATCGTGATTACGCCCGTACGTGTGACTGTTTGAGTTTATAATATGTAGTTTCATTTGACAAGTAAATCCAAACATTATGGCGACTAAAAAAAGAAAAATTTGTGATGTACATCGTTTTTTTTTAATAATTCTTGGGTTGATTTATACTTTTTCGTCGAAAAAAAAAGGTAAGCCATTATGTTTAATTCGTCAAAAAATTAAATTTTTTCTTAAAAGCAATTTTTTCCAGTAACATTCGTATTTTTTACACTCATATTTCTATGTAAAATAATCAAATATAATAGCAATACAACTATTATATATATTATATTAATATATTATATACTGATATAATATAATATATATAATAGTTGTATATACTCTATGTATCATATGTAAAAATTTTTTTTTTTTAATGTGGCCCTTGATAAACATTTGAAAAAAAAAATGGTCCGCATAGTTCAAGAGATTTCCGACCCTTGCTTTATACCATATCAAGTATAAAGACGTACATTGACATTTATATCTATTTCGCATACATGATGTAGCTAAACGCCTCTCGGTTCTCAGTGCTTAAAAGTGATTATACAGCGTGCATAAATACATTATACATCTTTTAAACATATTAAGATAGATACTTAAATTACAAATAGCCCCGTGAAACATTTTTGAAACATCTTTTTTTAAATTACAGTTGCTTAAAAAATGAAATAAACTGTATTTTGTTTTACATTTCTTTAATTTTAATAACGTATCTATTTATTATTTAAATAATTAAACCTATATTTATATATGCTTCAGATTTATATTAAGTGTTTTTCTAAAATCACTATGAAGCCGGTAAGCAATAAGTTAGGTTAATAGATAATAATTAATACCTAATTTATAATTATAATTTTTAGTCTGTATGATTATTAATTTATAATAAAATATGAGGCATTTTACTCGATTATAATTTAAATTATTATTATGTGCTGTTTTAAGCGGCACGTTTAACAATAAATACAATCGTATTCTAAAATAGGCTTAATAATGCGGGCTGTCGGTTATAACCCCCTACTTCCCTGGATACGCCATTGCTGAATAGTACCTACCTAATATATGAAATTGGAGTGATAAATTGCGAGCAAAGCGAGCGACTTTATGATGACTAAATTTATAATATAATCATTCAATTATGTAACCTGTCATTTTGCTTTAACTTTTTGGGTGGTGGTATTAACAAATTTTTGTACTTTGCACCACTAAATAAAATACAAGTCGGCGCAACTGTATATGACTGTATATGACTTTTATACTGTTTTGGATGATTTATTTCGTCCATTTTATTTTATGTTACGCAAGAGATGGACGATAACAATAATAACGGCGAGTTATTTGATTTCGATTTGATTATTGATTATTACGTTCCTACTAATATCTAGTAAGTAGTGTTAATACAAGTATTTAATACTGATAAAGGTTACCAAGGATCTAGAAAACTGTGAAAACTAATAACAAAATGTAATGCGTCATGGTTCTTTCAACGCGTCGTCGCAGTATAAACTCCGAAATCACGGACGACGTTGAACGCGTTAAATAAGGCAACGTACTCGTATTAACACTTTTTTAATTAACAAATTCAAATTAACACTTTTCGGTACGGTGGTTGTCGTACAGAATTGTTAAACGCTTAATTTTTAGTTGGAATGGATTTTCTACAAATATATTGACCGTACGGGTACGACCCCCCGTGCGTTTAAAGTACCATTTTCGTTTGCCACCCTTTGCTGAAAACACGCAAATTGATAATGCAACGAGGGTGAGGGGGATCGCCGTGCCGAGTACGGGGCGCGCCGAGCTGAGGCGGAGTGAACCGACGAGTCACAGGCAGTGCATCGCCACGGCAATAATCGGCATCGTGATTATCCACCCCATGGTGAAACGTGGGGAGCAAAGCCCCCTACAAACCCCCTATAATTAATTGGCACAAAATGTTTTAGTTTCACCATTTAACTATAGATGAAGCAATTTTCTATATTGCAAATAAATATTATTAATAAACATCACTATTTTTTATCAATAAGCGATCGAACCTGTAGACGGTAAACAAAACCAAAATCTTAAATGATATACCAAAATATATTCCAGCAATAAACTTGACCATGGTGCAACCATTTAGGAAAATTTAGGACTCCGATCTGACTACCCTGTGATTCCGTAAGCCCCGTCGTATCTAATCTTAGTTGAATTTGGCACGGCTGGCTAACACACAGTTTTTATATTAACCCGGACTGACGCATTATTTGTGTTTTTTTAAGTACTTGTACAGTATTAGACATTACAAACAGCAAGGGTATGGCGAACTGTGCCTACGCCAGGGGCGCGAATTGCAAAGGGGCATCAAATTGTGCAAAAGTCGCATTTTTATCCTATAATCAAATCGAAATGTTTTCATTGTACTCTTTGAAATACGTTGATGTCTATTTGTATACACTGCGTGTGAATTTAATGATGAAATTATGAAAATAGCGCAAGGACATTTAAATAAAAAATTTCATATAAAGAAATTATTGATGAATTTGCTAGTCATAAAACGAGAATTGCAAATTTTCAATGTTTAAAATTAACACTGTTATAACTCATAAGTATAAATTGTATACTTAAAAATATTAGTAAAATTAAAGGTAAAAAAAATATTGTTATATCAAATTTTAATTGCTTAAAAAGCGTTTTTTTTCTAAGTTTGCCAGGAGCGCTAGCGAGTCTTTCTACATTACCGATTACAAACAAGGACGCTTGTCCGGGGCACACATCGTCAACCAAAAAAATTCATTTTTTTAATCACCACGAGACACATTTAAGTTTAAGTCAATCATATTTTTAAAAATATCACTGTAATACTTAATAGTTAAATTCGTCTACTTTGTCTTAACTAAATTTTTACATTATGTTTGGTACATGTTTCCTTTAATTCATGTTTTATCTACGAATTATATTCTTATTATCATTATGGTCGTGATTTGTTTGCTGAACGAGCAACACGTGTGTTCTCACTTTCGAGTGTCGTTCATTCGCGTTGTGTTAGTGTCAGTAAAGTAATCATCGAAATGCTTACTATGCACACTGGACATTGGTAAGTGACTAACAATATATTAAGTATACTAGGCAACAACGCACTGGTGGTTTTCACCGTCGAGTGGAGTGCATAGCTATGGAATTGCTAGATTTGCCAACATATGCAGAATTGCAAAATATTTTAACTGAATTTAAATATATTAACGAACAGCTCTGCCACGAAGTGGCAGAATTACAGACAAGTAAAAAGTTACTACAAATAAAAAATAATGAACTGATCCTGGCAACCAAAGCGTTAGATTTAAATACAAAATAAATGAAAACCTAGAACAAACTTCTACTACTAACACACCGGCTTCAAATAA